CATTTTGGGGAAGAGGAAGAAGTGACAAGGAGTAGAGCAGGAGGAGTGCAAAGATTGCAAAATATAAATATATTAAAGCTGCAAGCAGCGATGGTCGGGTCCTCAGCATGCGACTGTCGGCCGTCACGTATGTCAGGTTGTGGCGCAAACGTGCTCCAGGCAGGACTCTGATCCGGCCTGTGGAGTTTCAGGCAGATTGGAGCACGTGTGACCTAGTTATACATCACTTCCTGTGTAATGGCGAGCTGAGGTGGCGTGCATGCGTGTTTTATGGCAAAAAACAACAGGAGCCACAAAACCCTTTTGGCATCTAAAATGAAGATAACACTGCATATATGGTTTTTTACCTTTATGCTATGTATAAAAAAAACTATAGTGTGTTGCATTTATGAAATCAATGAACTGCTACAGAGGAAAGGAAATTTCATTTCTGCATGAAACAAAAACATTTTGAACTCCGAAAAAAAAAGAGATGCTGGGTTGAAGGTTACTTTCAAATTTAGGATTCAATTTTAAAAACTAGCGAACTAAAATAAAATAGGATTAAATTAAATGTTCATTATTTACTTTCCAAAGCCACAAGGAGCCACAGCAGAGGGATGAAAGAGCCACATGATGCTCTGGAGCCGCGGGTTGCCGACACCTGGTCTATATCAAACCTGCTTCCGACGGGACTCCGCTGAAATTTTCTAGGGGGCGCTGTGGAGCCATTTTGCAATTGACATTCCCAGTTCCTTTAAAACAGGGATCTTCAACTCTGGTCCTCATGAGCTACTGTCCTGCAGGTTTTAGACATTTCCATACTGCAACACACCGAACTCAAATTAATGGATCTTTAACAGACCTGTGTAGAACTTGGCAACAAGCTATTAATTTGAGTCAGGTGTGTTGCGGTACGAGGACTGGAGTTGGAGATCCCTGCTTTAAAACAGCTTTTTTTTTCGCCAGTCCTGACGTGTGTGCAAATTTTGGTGCGTTTTCAAGCATGTTTAGGCCTTCAAAATCGCATTTGTTTTTGTCGAAAAAGAAAGCGTGATAGTCCAATAGGGTTCTTGCACTGTTGACCCTAAATAATCATATATAATAAATAATTTAATAAATAATGCATAACCACTGAACTGGGACTAGGCGGACAGGGCGTTTGAGCACATGCCATCTCACCACAGTTACGGTAGTTTGC